GGTACCAGCCTAGCAGGTGTATACTGGCATAAATATCAACTTTAGAGTAACGCATAGTTACCTGTTACCACATTTTATGGAAAGTAGTGCAAAATTCGAATTCGACATGCCCAAGTACGTAAATAATAAGCTAACCCTTATTAGTGCGTTACTAACAGATAACTCATAGTATAATTACAAAAGTGATAGATACGGGATTATACAGATTGGAAGTTCGAACAATATCCCGTAGATCAACATCGTGACGAAGGCTTTGGGGGTTGACTTAAATACATATTACTTAAATATGGACACTAAAAAGGTAGATTTTATAACTAAATACAATACAAATACTTTTAAAATATAATCAATTTTACCAGTTAAACATGACACTTGAAGTTTTAGCTACTCGTAAACTTGTTCTAGGTTCAATCACCTTCTTGTGTCACAGACAAAAAAATATTGTCTCAATGAAAAAAACCTTTTTAGAGGTTTAAAAACATATTACGAACGGTATCTTGAGCTGTCAATTATTATTTACTTTACTACTATTTGTAATATAATGGCAATACACGTCATATGCATGCATTCAACCCTCCACTGGCTAGCGTGACCGGCTTAGGTAATAGCCATGGCTTCCTTCCTTGATACACCGGCGCTGTCTTACACACGGGCCTTCCTCGTTTCCTTATTTATGTACAGGTTGATGGCTATTATACCGTTCATATTTTGATCATAAACAATTTCTGATAAACGGTCAGTTTTAAGGGTTCGTCAGTTTTACTTACGGACAATTTACTTCTGAAAAACAATGTCAATAACGATTCATCTTTTATATATGTTATATTATTTAAAAATTTCACCGATTATTATAAATACGAAGATTTTTCAGACGATTTGCTTGATGGCAAGCGATCACCGACGGTTCTGCAAAACACTAGTGATATGAGAATAGAGATGAGAATAGTAGATTATTTCAGCTCAAACATTTTCTTTCAAAAACAGGAACATATTGTACTCATCTTTAAATTACTTAAGTTTCATTAATTAAGTGATTTATACTGTATAGAAACAGATAAAAAACAGTTAAAACAAATCAAATATAGAAAAACTCGCTAATTCGTTTCATGTTTTACAGTTTCGTTACATTTTTTCCAATTCTCCATTTCCTTCTTTTAATTTTTTCGCATTATTATTTATTAATTTTACTTCCGTCCAATTTTTTTTGTTTTATGACGTGAGGTATTATTAATAATTTTTACAGAAATTACGGCCACTAATGTTATTGTTTTTTTTTGTTTTTGATATTGCCAACAGGTTGCACTTACTCTAGTCACAAACGACACGAGTCATGCACTGACTTGTATGTGCAAATTTTACAAGCATACTTACTAATGTGTCCATATTCGGTTATTTATCCATTGATTACAGATAAAGGGATAAACAGTTCTCAATTTATTTGGTTTATTTATACAGATAAAAGATAAATGTAGACGTTAAGTATGTATTTAAAAATATGACAGATAATTGCGGTTCACATCTAATAAATATAAATTATAATTGTGGGTACGTAGTGTTGAATAGTTCTATCATTTTTCTTTGGGTTAAATTACATACCTAGATGTGTAGTTAATATCAGATGCAAATATATAACCAAAACAATGGTAATTAAGAAATAATAATCCAAGCAAATACACCCATGCATCCTGTCTTACAGACGTCAGAGATGTCAACGCCTTAAAACAATACAATGACACAAAATAAAATATTTTAAAAATGATTGTCACACTGTGTGAATGTGCTTTTAATAACAAAATTAATGTCAGTTAGCCGGTCAGTCCCCTTTACTTATAACAATACATTTTATGAAGTTGACAGTAATTAAAGAAGTCGAATAACCCGCGTGTGAAGATTTGAAGTCGATATAATTAATGATATGAGCGAGGAACAATCGTAAACTTTAATAAAATTACAATAATTGTACTCGGACATACCATTAAGTTACATCTAAGGTATAGCAGCTCGCTTGAAAAGATCAACGGGTGCCGACATAAAGAATTTTGGTTGAAGTTGTCTTCATTGTCTTCGGTCTAGTTGTTCAATCATTATAAAAAAGACTTAATCAGATACGAGTAGTATCCTTCCCAGTAAAAAAAAACTCAAAGATATTTTGCCTATTTTCGTTACGTTTTTTATTTGTTTTATATGTAGTGATAATACGCAAAATTACCGCGCCGCGTCTATCTGTTTTAACGCGATAAACTCAATAACTACCGAATAGATAATCATACGGTTTTCACCGTTCGGAGTAAGAAACGAATGCATGAGGAAGGTTTTGGTGTACAATTTAACAAGGTTTTATTAAAAAATCAATATATGCTCTGCTACTTACTGTTTAAGTGCCTATTCCCAAACATTTTCAAATCACTTGACTTCTTTATAATATATTTTGTTTTTTCTTTTAATTTAATCGCATACTTACTATATTATTAATTTTAAAATGATAATGTCATTCGTACATTTTCTTTTAAATGTAACATCAGAATAAATACCGATGATGCTGTTTTATGTGGTATGATGCAGAGCGGATTTTAGTATAATAATTGTACTCATGTAAGTAGGTAAGGAACCGTCTTGTCAGATCATATGCAACCTACAAATCTGCATTTTATAACTGCTTAAACTATCGGCTTCTACAGTAAAAGTAAATCATGTAGTGCGCTGTGTGTCGCTGAGCGTAAACTCAACAAGTGTATTCATTTGATTTTTTTCACAACTTTCCATATTTTTTTTTATTTATAAAATATAATTAAAAATCAATATGACAACCTTAATTTTAATTATTTTTAGTTATTGTAATAAAGAAGGTTTCTTTTCAATTCTTTTTAGGAAAATAATGGAATCGTTACTCCTTTAATGTGTAGAATACCAATAAAGGCAAACTAAGGCATTAAACTAATGCAAAGAAGTTCTTAAAGATTCTCGTTATTATAATATAATTATTGACAACGTAATATTGTTAATCGTTAAAAATCAGACGTCCATCAGATATTTTTTTTCTAAAAATACCCATAAAAAGCAATGTACAGGCGGTATGGGTTTATGGTAGCCGGTAAAAACAAACGGTGATAAGAATGTACTTGTAGCTGTGCGGTGAGCCACCTATCACTTTTTCTATTACACGTCGTGCGTCAAAGAGACCACGGATAAAGAAAAGGATGGAATAGTTTAAACTAAAAAAAATATGTCATTTTATTATTGTAATGATTGTTCAATGTGATCTGTGTCACACACACTTGTGTGCGTTGCATTTTTATTTTATTAGGAATTTTATGCTCTTTGTAAACAACTCTGCCGGTGTGTCGATATTAAATATATGTATGTGCCTATGCAAAACAAACTTTACCCTCACACATTAAGTGCTTCTAACTTATCATTACTAACTAAGTAACTTATTATTACTCAGAATCAATCATTCTAAAATGCTGGGTTTTTCAATATTCAAGATCTGTAACATTTTCACTAGGTTACAACAAATAAGATTAAATGAAATTTTAATAATGATAATTTAAAAAATATGAGGACATAAAAATAAATAGTCACAATGAAATTCCAGTGGATTCCTTACTCGTGCACAGTACAGTTGCGCAAGCGTCTCAGTGACCACAGACCGAAACATATACATATTTATGAGCTGTAATATACAATTTCTATGTATAATCTCTTACTAATGCAGGAAGTATATGATGATGATTGTTAACGGTAGCCTGATTTGGTGATATCGTTTAATTGGACAGTTTTAGTTATACGGACATTAAAAAATAACAATGGAATTTTGAAATTGGAATAAGAGTTTTGATTAAGAACAGATTCCATAAAGAATGAAACTACTTGGAGCAAGATGAAAAAAAAAACTTATTTTAATAATTAAACGTATTGCAGTTATTAACAAATTTTGAAGACACAAATTATTCTGTGACTGGACTGTAGGTAGGTGTCTTTCTAGCACAGAATAAGATGTATTAAATTTTTAATGATGTATTTAGTTGAATCATTTGCAATGTAATATTTATATAACAAAACGCTAATTACAACGACCGACTTAAAGCCGTTTAAGAATGTTTTGCATAAAAATATCATTAATTAGATCATCTTAGAAATTAAATGACAAATGTAAAACAAATTATCTTAAACATATAATAATATGGGACACGAAAACATAATATATTTGAAATACTTTATCTATGCTATATATATTAATATTTTAAAGCTGAAAGGTTTGTTTGTTTGGTTGAACACACTAATCCCAGGAATTACTGGTTGGAATTGAAACATTTTTCAATTCCAAACAGTAATTCCTGGGATGGTGTAGTGTTGGATAGCACATATAATAACAAACTACCACTAATAGGAGCCGAGCATCAGTGAAAATGTTACAAAAACGGGGAAATTAATGATTCCTTGGAAGACATGAAGTTGTGCGGTAGATAGTGTTTATATTAAGTAAAAGGGAAGAGAGTTAACATTTTTTTTAAAAATGTGCAATAAAGGTCAATATTATATTTCCATCATATTTATCCAATAGGTCCATTGTATATTTAGATTTACCATAGTAGAAAAGTCTATACAATGACACTTCAAGTTACAACAGTTCAAACAAGACAATTAAACCGTCGAAATTCGACTGCTAGGTGAAGTATAGGATTCGTTTTTAAAAGCTCAGTCATTTTTTGACACAGCATTAAGGCCCGTATGTCAGGATTTCAAAGAATCATCGTCTATTAACTAAGAGAGATCGTACAATACCGACAAAGTGTTTGATTTGACAGCTCAAGATGTACCCTCTAAAGCTAATTAATAAGCAGATACAACCACTTAAGATAAGTAAAAATATTTTCATCCCGAAACTGCACCGGATATAGATCGTATCGGCATGACAAAGCGTGGCGCCAAGTAACTTGTATTACCATCATTGCAAACATAAACTCTATTTTATTTACTTTGAGTTTATTTTTGCTTATTTACAATCTTAATTTACCAATATTCGAACCTAACAATCCAAAATCAACCACATAGTCAACGTGATTAAGCGTATTTTTGATGGTGTTGGATCTTGTTTCATTAACATTGAGAGATTTGTCAGCAACATTTTTGTCTTCTTTGAATTTCGACCCAGTCTTTTTATAATAAAGTTCAATTTCGTATGACGTTAGATCTGAAGTGGCAATATCAGAATCTATTGATGCTTCTCTAAAAGCTTCAGCCATCTCAAGTGCAGGTGGTATGACTCCTGTGTCTCCGAAAATAAATGAAATGGTCATTGTGAGATAAGATTTCTCAGTACTCTAATGACTGATATATTAATGCTTTGAGTCAAGGAAATTCCATTGAACAGCGAGTGTTCTTAGTCATTAATATTGAAACATGTTTATTTTTAAACTGATATAAATAGGAAATTGATAACAACTGAATTTGTTGTCATATTGAAAACATTTTAAGATTTTTTTCAAAATTAGTTATTTTACTGTAAATCACTGTAGTTTTACATAAACTGAGAATGTTTCTGTCTCCTTAAGTCAATATCACAGTCATGTTTTCTTATAAAATTATTTTATTTAATTAAATTTTAAGGGTGTAGATATTCTTTTGTAACTTTGTGAACTGGTAAACATAAAGTATGCATTCTATATATTTCACAAATAGTTTTTCAACTAGTTTTATAGTATCTATTACTTGTTACCTTTTATTCTTTTTCTACAGTTATCAAGTTTGCAATATTTTCTGTCTCTCTCAATTTTTCTTTATGGATTTGCTAATATTTCCACCAATTTTGCTAATTAGCCTCTGCTACCTCAATCCATCATTCAAAAGTGAAACAAACATATTTATCTAAACTTAAAAATGTTGAAAGACGAATAATTTTTTAATGTTTAGTTGCTTTGCTGTTCATATACAAATGTTATTGTCTCGTATTAAACAAAGAAACACTAGAAATGTGTTTGCAAGCATTAACTGGAACGCTGTTATCGTTTTTTTTTAACCATTAAGTGCATTTATCCCTCCAAGTGCACGTTCTAGGGCTTTAACAACTTTGACTTAAAGTTTTTCTAAGCAAAAAGTATAACATTATTGCAATAAAACTGCGTAGTTTTCTAGAATACCACTTATTTACTTATTACTATTTGCTATCAGTGACTGCGCAGTATGTGGGATAAGATGTTGTAATTATGCGTTTAAGTTATCTATTTCTATAAAAAAAATTATTCTATTTTCCAGTGCTATGGTCGTCAAATAATATTATTTATTGATGTCAACTTGATGGAAGAGACAAACAAGCACACTGCCCATCTGATGATCATGTTTTTTTAATAATGTTAATAGATTTTCGATATTTACTCGCCCGATGTGAAATTATTTCTTCAACAACACTCGGTACGTGACCATGGTGTTCACTCGTGGTTTTAGGTGGTGTGCAGGTGCTTTCTGGGTTAGATATCTGTAGTGAGTAGTAGTTACATAGAAGCCATTTCTAATCAGGAGACCCGTCAGCCTAATTACCTCCTATGTGTAAAAAATAAAAATTATCAGACGAGCATCGCATTTTTTTCTGAACGGGATAGATAAAGGTATCATATAGATAATGAGTCAATTGACATACAGGCACAATTTAATAAAACATATGTATGTTTTATTTTTCTTTTGTAACTCAAACTTATAAGGTATCTCGGGCCTGTTGGTCTAGTGACTAGTCACGGGTTCGATTCCCACCCAAGACAAATAATTGAGCGGTGAGCATGATCATTTGTTCAGTGGCTGGGTGTTATTCATTCATAACATCTATGTATTTATAAATATATAAATTATGTTTATCACACGTCTGGTTACCATAGCACAGGCTCTGCCTAGTTTGGAATCATACTGCCGTGTGTGAGATGTGTGAAGTTATTATTATTTTCTATGGAAAATATATATTCAAGGAAACTTATCCCTTTAAAATGAACCCCTATGTTAAGAAAGTAACGAACAACTTTTATCAGCGTTGTTTTTAATGCTCATCAAGTTTGCATAACTTGTGTTTTTATTGACTGCACGCCGTTTCCTACTGCGCTGAGTGTTGTGGGTTCGATTCCCAGATGGGACAACACTTTGTGTGATCCACAAATTGTTGTTCTGAGTCTGGGTGTCCTTTGTGTCCGTTTCATGTATGTTTGTGAAGTCCCTCGTGACACAGGATTTATTTCTAGTGCGGGAGTAGTCTTTTAAAAAATTAAAAAAGAAAGCTTTAGATATTCACAGAACAAAACACTTTTTAACCACACATAGAAAATTAACATAATTTTATCAATGGTTTTCTCGAAAATAGAAATGAAAAGGGAATACCACCACACTCTCATCGTGACATAATCTCCTACAGGTTTTGCACAACTCGAACACATCTCCTTGTAACTCAGCCAGTCAATAATATGTAGTAATCCAGGATTATGTGGGCGATCGGAGGGCTTTTGTCGGTAATGGCCATGCCAATCATTGCAGTCTTTGTTTTTCTTAGGGGTATGTCCATTGAGGCAGTCATTAGTGGTCGTGGGATAGGGGCTGGCAATGTATGGTGTCTTTTAAGTACACCATAATTAGTTGTCACTCAAAATTAGTATGAATTCAATATTATTTGTAATATTTAGGTCAGAAATTCGTTACTGTCTGTTTTCCAGATGACTAAGGCTAAAACTTGGCGAATTACCACTTAGCAGGATAGTTAGTTAAGTAACAGATAGTTAGATAAGTTACATTTCAGATAAAACATTGTTCAGATAAAACACGATTTTGTTGAGTGTAACTCTTTGGGTCATAGTCAGGCGATGCGTAAAGCATAAAAAGCTCACATAACAGTTCTAAAATAAAATTGTTTTTAGCAAAAACTTGTCACGTTATCTACGGATACGTCCTTGAGTAGTCTCATGTAAATAAATATTTGAAAGTAATGCCTTGGGTAGTATCTCTTTTTTATTTTGTAAGAGTCATATTACTTGAATTTTTCTTAACGACAATTATATAATTAAATTAAGTTTTTATAGTGGAGTTGAAGAAGTATAAATTTTCATACTTACACTAAAAACTCAATTTTGACTATTTAAAGGTAAAAATAATAATTTGAAATACCACAACACACGATAACTTGTACGTATTTTAAATGAGAAAGTTATGTACTAACAATTAAAAAAAAAACATAATTTACTGACAAACACTAAGATATGGTACAAAAAATGCAAACGCATAAAAGTCTATGTTTCTTTTTCTTAATGGCATGAAATTAAAATAGCAAGTTGCTTCACTTACGAACTACCATAGAAAATAAAATTCAATTTTCTGTAGGTTATACATTAATTAACAGTATGTAAGTGGCAGTAACAGATATTTAATTTGAACTTAGTTGTGAAGGAATGCTTCGAAAAGTCGTCTTAAAGGGCAAATGCGGGCAAAAGCTTGGGCAGCATTATATGTGCATGTGTCTTTGAAGAGAAGTCCAGTAACTCGTAATTGAAATAATATAAATTAAAAAAAATGTTCTGGATTGCTAGATGATATAATAGTCAAGGATTATGTTACAATTATAAATGTAGTTAAGTAATTCATTCACATCATCATCACATCAACAGCCTTTAATAGTCCACTGCTGGACATAGGCCTTTCCTAAGAAAGGAGGTTTTGGCCTACTATACCACGCTGGCCAGACTAGTTGGTATTCGCTTTGTATCAAGTTTTCCTTCTTTTTGCAGTGCTGGTGTCCTGCGATGTTTTGCGCACTTAGTCGGCTCTTACGACACCCATGGGATGAATTAGGGTAGTGACATTCCGTATTCTTAATCCGTCACTAAACTGACGAATAATTCACTCGTTACATGAAAAACGATTTTCAAAAGTTTGGACGTTTAAAGACATGACGCAAATCACTTTTAACGGTAGTAATGCAAAAAACACTTTCAAACTCTGTACAGCTTAAAAATAATAGATGTTAAAAAACGAATGTTTAAATTTTAGAAAAATACTTCACAAGCTTAACTCTAAAAAGACGTATCCTGGAAGTTTCAAATATTAAAGATATATCACCATGTTTAAGTATAATTTTCTTTACCCAAATCTTGAACTTATATCACTTTCTCAGAGACGTGACGTTTGGACCGCAATCAATGTCCACATTGAGTGGCACGTGACACGGCCCTTATAAAGGCTGCGCCACACTAATTAGATATACACTAAGTGTGACAGACAGACACGCCTGTTTACTTGAGAAATATGTGTCTGAGAAGTGAAAACCATATGAATTATGTTTGTTTTACTAGCTAGTTATACGAATTAAATAATAGTTTTGAATAAAGTTCTAATAACAGTCACAATTAATAGTCATTGCAAGTCTGGCCTGTTGGTCTAGCGGTTAGTGAATCTAACTGAGCCCGAAGTTGTGCTGTCGATAAACAGTTGTGTGATGAGCATGACTATTTGTTCTAATTATAGGTGTAGTTTATCTGAATGCATTTAGAAAAGTATAAGAATGTTTATCAGCAGTCTGGTTACCTTAGTACAGGCACTATCTGCCCTTGCGGCTCTATATAAACTATAAATACACAAAATTTGTAGGTGTTAAACTTTTCGGTAGCTTAACACGTACAAATTTTATGTATTTATAGTTTATTAGGGCAAAGTTTTTTATTTGTCGAAAATATAGTTTGAGGAAATTCCTATGTAGTCCACATAGGAATTTCTCTAAATAAAAAAAAATTGATTTAGATGTCAACGTTACAATGAAAGCTTACGTGAGAGGTTTTATAGAGCTATATTCATATTTGTCAATTGTTAGACGTCGAACTCGATAGACAGCATCACTAATCTAGCGTGTCATCTGACACCGTTGTGGTGGGATACCTCATTCCCTGAAAAAGGGTACGTGCTAGGTCTAAAAGTAGTCGGATATCCCTGAAACAAATTAGTTGATAACCGCTTTAGAGTCGGTCGTCATATTCTATATATTACTTCCCTTGATACGTCAGTCGGCACACTTCACAGATATTTTCGCAATAACCTGTACCATTGTCACTGATAGCACTATCAACTATATCATTAAGTACTTATCTACAATGGAGTGCCATCAAGTGGTGTCATTTAATATTGTGACCATTATCGTTGTATCACAACAATCACGGTGTGAGCTTGGGGACACTTGGTCAATTCCCACGTGTGGGAATGTTTATGGGTTGTGTTGTAAAAGGATTATTACTTGTTTGATGTGATTGATCGTATGTCAAGAAATAAAATCAAAAATATTAAA